TGGTGGTGGTGGTGGTGGAAGGAGGGATCCAGGAGCTGGAGAAGGTAATGGGCCACCGGGAGCTCCTGGTGGCAAGGAAGGTCCTCCAGGGCCGGCAGCACAGATTGCCCTCTGGGAGAGAAAGAGGAGGAGGTCAGGTCATACAGTGCTGTGGGATACCACCCAAAAAATGCCCCCATACCAATTTTCAACTATTTTTTGGCCAAAATTTAACCAGCATAGGAAGTACCCAAAGGCTTCAACACTCCCGACTGAGGTCTGATGCAGCCAGACATGAAGTCACCCAGTTACCAGAGCTAGACATCTTCGTGACCCTCTCAGCAAGTGCCTTTCTCAGTCCCTTGTGCAGCTCCAGAAATCACCCCATGGTGTCTGCAGGGGGTTTGAGACTGGGCCACAACAGGGAGGAGGTTTGGGGCCTCACCCTGCTCATCTCGTGGAGCTGCGCCGTGAGATCTGCCACTTGCTGCTTGACCTGCTTGTGCTCACTGGACTCCTTCTCCAGCTTCTCCTTCATCTTGTTCAGTGTCTGCATCATCTCCTCCTTCTCCTGGGCCTTGGCGTCGCACTCTCGCTCCTTCTTCTCCAGCTTCTGCTGAAGCTCGGTGTGCTCTGAAACAGCCCCATGAGACCACTTTTGGGTGACAAACAATCCCTTTTGGGTGACAAACACTCCCTCTTGGCACATAGCAGCACGCAGGGGACTAACACCCACGCTGTCCTGTGGAGCAGCCGCACAGTTAAGAAAAGTGTGTGCTCTGCCTTAATGCCCTGGCCAGGGCTTCCCTATGAAGAGATGAAAATCTACTTCGCCTATTTCCCTTGTGAGCCCCAGACCGTGACATCATCTCTGCCACTTAATAAAGCCTGTGGAGTCCATCCAGCTAAATACATGTATATGTTATCTGTTTAGGTTACCGTGCATGCTAAGGTTCAAGTTAATGCTGTGTATCTTTCCATCACTCACCTTTCCGCATTTTTTCTGCTTGCTCTTTCCACTGTTTCACTTCATTTTCATTGACTAACCTAAAAGGAAAAGACAAGGAGTGTGATCAGACAACCTACTGCAGTAAACCAGTGGCCATCACCAGCAAGAAACACAATTGAACAAGCCTGGGCTACGGGATTTAAGGCTCCCAAACTGGTATTTTCAACACCTCTGCTCTGCCTACCCCCAATGTCAGGGTTTTGCAGGCTGGGATGCAGTGCTGCCTTGACAGCTCTGGGGATGTCGGCTTGTCCAACCAAGGAGCAGAAATATCACCGGGTGGCAGTAAGTGATGAATAAGGAACAGTGACAGCAGCAGTGGGGAGAAATAGCTCACCGAGGACACAGAGTGTGAGCCTAACACACCTGCACGTCGTGCTCAAGTGGTTGCAGCGATGCCAGCCTGGCAGGGATAACCCCCAGCCTGGCCCCCTCTCCTGCCACAACCAAGATTTTCCACCCCAAGAAAGACGGGTGGGCACTTACATTCGGACAACATTTTTAATATTGAAGTTTTCCAAGGGAGTGGCATCGGGGTCCTGCCCTTTGTCACTCTGGATGACGATCTGCTGCACAATCCTGTCGAGCAGCAGCCAGTACTGGACGGTGTTGCCGTTTCTTTTATCTGGAGGGGAAGACGGGGAGTAAGTGAGGGGAGCAGCAGGGAGGTCACTTCTGCCCCAGGGAGGAGACGAGGGCTGCCAAACCCTGAGCTCCCTTGGGTTTTTTTGCCTCCCCCGGGACTCACAAGGCATTTGGAGACAGTGGTGCAGGATAGACATAAAGTGTGGGTATGCCTCCGTGTGCGTCAGCCTCTTCCTCGTCAGCTCAAACATCTGAGTCGCACTTTTGGTGTCGATGTGGACCTGTGAATGGGAGCAAAACGAGGTCAGGCCATGGGACCGGTGGTGGCACTGCCTGTTCCCCGAGTCTCAGCTCCAAACCCATGAGCCATCCCCACCCCACACCCGATGGACAGACGAGCCCCACTGCCCTGCAAGGGACAAAGAGCTCTGGGTGGGAGCCAGGGAGAAGGGGGATGAAGCAGGCTGTAGGATGGACGTTGCAACAGGAAACAGATTTCCAACCTGTAAATTTTATCCACAGGACCACACTTCATCCTGGACCATGTAGGCACTTTTAAAAGCAACCATGACTTGGAGTGCCAGTGTCTGCATCAGCAACGTTCGTACTTACCAGCTCAAATCTTTTGGCAAATTCCAGTTCATCTTCATTTCTAAGCATTTCAAAAAAATCTAAGTGCCTGAGAAAAGAAATAGAGCAAAAAAGGCTGTTAAAAGCAGATACCAATGTGACAATTAATAAATTGCAGGCAGCCAGTCTGGCAGAGGCCCAGACCAGAGATAAGCGAGGCTTGAAACATCTTCAGTCTTGAGCTCCCAGTCATTACAGCCTGTCCAAGGGGTCTTCTGGGACAAGGAGAGGAGGAGCAGGTCTCCCAGCCCCTCGATGGCACATCCTTCCCAGCTCAACCCTACGTTAGAGTGTGGTGAAATGGTGACAGGGTTTTTCTCTTCTGTCTCTGGCGACAGCAAAGAATTTCCTCAAAATGGGCCAAATCAACAGTCTGGATTCACGGACATTCCCCAAAGGCCAAGTCTATAAAAGCAAGAAGCAAGGGTGCAAGGCAAGGGCAAAACCAACGAGTGGGCTGGGGGGTCATTACTCACCGGTCGAGGGTTGAATTTTCATGCTCTCGTAATTTATCAATCACTGGCTGGATCCCGAGCATGAGAAATTCGTATCTCAGATGGAGTCTGAAATCCAAGCTTTCCTGCAAGAGGACAGTTTTGGGGTCAGAGCAGCAAGGTGCACGTCTTCAGAAATAAAACCCCTCCAAGCCCCCCAAAGCACCTCCCTCTCCAAGAGCCCCGGCGCTCACCACGCCTGCGCCCTGGCTCAGGACTGCGTTGATGAAGGACATGATGGCTGTCTTGAGGCTCACTTCATCCCGGTAACGCCCCGTGCTCTTGTCCAAGTCATTGATCAGCGTCTGCCAAACGCGCAACATCAGTTAAATGCCTGGTGACAGCCCTAGTGCTGCACGAACAGCCCAGGGACACACACAGGAACATTTCATGATGCTCCCACAGCCCCTGCAGCACCCCGCTGGTGACGGACCATCAGCTGCTGCCTTCTGTCATGCAGCCCACCCCAGCACCCGTTTCAGCAAACATCAGCCCATCCAGATGTGCTGCAGCCATGCAGAGCTGCGATCCCAGCACCCTTGCACAAGCAAGCATTTTATTTGGGGGCAGGGGGTGCTGCCTTAAATAACTGGTTCATCACTCTTTGCTCAGCTGCAGATCTCATCAGACATAGTTCTGGGGTAATTCCCAGAGTATCTCTGCTGCAAATGGCCATAATAAATCATTTACAAGTGACACTTAGATATCCAGGAGAAGGAAGGGACAAGAATGGTGACTTCTGGGAGCTGAGGGGTGAGTGGAGACCTGCCTACCTGAAAACGAGTCCGTTCGCTGGCGTATTTCTGGTAGTGCAGCATCGCCTCCAGTACCTTTTTGTGGCCCCCGGGAACCAGGCACACAGCGCCCATGATTTCCAGCACTGCCACCTTCGTCTTAATGTTCTCTGTGCTCAGACTCTGAGCGATTACGTTAATACTCTCTGAATGGGCTAGGACATGAGCCCGGCCCAGGGAGTTGTTCATTAGTGCTTTTATACATCCAATGAGTGAGGTATGTATTCGAGACTCCGCCGTCTCATAGTCCATGCTTTTGAGAAAGTTGAGAATACACGACAAGCCATCCAGGTCGATGAACCGGGTTACAAACCTGTCAGAAAGGAGGTTTTTAACTTTAAAAAAACAAATGCTAAAGGACCCTTTTTCCCCCAAACAGGGCTGACTTGTCTGTTGTTGTAAACCCAGAATCATCTTATCTATTTTTTCCTGGACTTTAGATAGCAGAAAGCCTGCAAGCTTAAAGCACAAGGACAAGGCTGTGAAAATCTTAGCAATTTAACTGGTGCCTTGTTGCACAGGCAACCAGGCAGCATCTGCACAAGGTTGTCCAGAGCTAGGATATTTGGAAGAGGACCAGCAAACCCAGCCAGTCCCACCTGCACAAGGCCAAGGCAGAGGTCAGGAGTCTGCAGCCACCTTGCTGCAAAACCATCCCAGTGCCCAACCTGATAATACCACTTACTTAAATACCACTTACTGGGGACCAGTTTTGCCCAGGACTGGAAGAAGCTCCCAAATCCTGGAGTCTCCTCCTCATCAGCTGCAGACACCCCAACACCAGCCAAGCCCGTGTCCATGATGTCCATCAGACTTTCTGCCTCCTGCTACCTCTCCTGCCTCATCACCCACATCCTTAGGCACATCTCAGCAATTTTAAGGGATTTCTAATTTTTACGATGACTTATAACACTGCCCAATAGAAAGCAGACGGCAAACGCAGGGCAGTGCCCCAGGCAGATTCACTGAAGCAGGCAGACATAACGCCGCTTGCTGCTCAGGCATTTTAGGACCTCCCTGCCCGATGCCATTCAGGCTAGGTGTATTCTGGTTTGGCAAAAGGCATGGGCTCGGAAAGCAAATGAGCCAAGAACATCCCAGCACTGGGATGATTTTAATTCAAAACAAGCCATGCTGATGCCCAGCAACAAAAGGGGTAATTGTGCTTGGGGGAAAATTATTTCTCTGCTTCAAAGCCTGCTCTTCTTCCAGTCCAAGTCAATAGAAAATTTGATGCTCACTTCTCTGGAAAGAAAAGCAGGTCCAACAGGTAAGATCTGCTATAGTGGCTGCTGGATCCTTCTGGCTTGCAGTGAGACTTCACAAACCACTTTTAAGGACTTTGCAAAGTCTCATGGCTGGGTACCAGCCGTGCTCCCAGGGCACTGTAGGGAGCCAGCACCCAAGAGGTCCAGGTTTCACAGAAATCGGGTGCTCGCCCTCAGTCCTGGGCATTTCTTACCAAGTACCATCACCAGACCCATTGCAAGAGAGAAATGGAAGACGGGAATGTATTTGCAAGCAATAGGAAATTTGTTCCTTCCAGAACCAGAACAGGTCATAAATTTCTTCATGAAACATTTTCCCCTCAGAAAATGTTGACCTTAGGCATCATAAAGGTTTTACAGCTGCATGCATGCAGACTCCAGAGAAACTGAATTTAGGAAAAGCTACAGGCATTCAGAAAGACTCTCTCCCTTTCCTTATCCTCCTCATCAAAACCTCCTAGCAATATTTTTTTCTTCCATTTCATAAAAGCCTGAAGATTCATTAGATTTTATTCCTTTAAAAAGTACAAGAGAAGTTGAAGTTAAAACAAAGGGCCTGGTTGACCAACAGAAATGGGATGATTTTTTTAAATTCTATCTGGAAGGAAATTTTACATTCTGTTCCAGTGAGAACAAAAGTAAATTTGAAAACAAAAAAAAAGAAGTTGTCTCATTTGCCTGACTAGATGTGAAGGTCCTGGTGGTTCTCAGCCACTAAAAGGACTGAGAAAAAGGAACAAAATGACAAAAGGTGAATAAAAAAAAAGCAAGTGGTGTTTCAGGGTCCTTGCCTCCCTCGTCCCATGCAGCCTCCATTTATATCTCTATTTAACCCCCCACTCCACCAGAGAACTCAAATCCAAAGCCACAACTGCAGTGACAAAGCCAGGAAAGGGAAGGGAATTGCCTCATTGGTTTTGTCCGCAGTGCAGTCTTCAGGCTTTCGATTGTTTTATTTCTCTCCTCTTCATCTTCCTTTTCCAAGGCGATCAGCGTTTTTCTCTGCGAAAGGAAAGAGGCAGGTGTAAGAAGGGAGGTTTCCCTGCAAAGCTCATGCCTCAGAAGCAGGAGCACCGGCTGTGCCAAATCACGGGGACGGAGCTGGGACCTTAAACTGACTCTGGAAGGCTTAAAGTCCAGATCCTTACGGCAATCACAGGACTCAGAGAAGCAGGAGTTCAGAAAAACCCACATTGGCTTTGTAGCAGTGTTGCTGATGGCCTTGCACCTCCCCGGCCACTTGGGTTTTGTTTCAAAGCAGTGAGAAATGAACATTGGCTGGTGCTGAGCGAGGCTGCAGAAATCCAGCCCCCTCTTACCCAAATTCATCCTCACCCCTCAGCAAGCCCTGGCAAGATGCTGGGCTCCATTGCCCTGAGATGACTGGGAGAGCTGGATGACCACCTCGAGAGGACACAGCACTGTCCTGCATGATTATTAAGTTCCAGAGTTAATGCCCTGCAGGCAGGAGTGGTGTCACCCCAAATTGCTGACCCACAACTCATCCAGACAAGCCTATGTTGGAGGATGCTCACAATCGTCCCCTTGCAACCCTCAGACTCAGAGCAGTGAGAGGGAAAGGCTGCAGTTCTGGCAAGGAGAATCCCAAGTCATGGGCTCTAGATGTAAATCCTGGCACATCCCCAACAGCCCACCACTCTTTAGGAAATACACTTTGTGAAAGGAACAGCTAAATAAGTGCATCACAGTATTCTGTAATAAAGTATCCAGCTGAACCCTGCTCAACCCTGCGGGGGCATCCACAACTTTCCTGGGCAACCTGTGCCAGCATCTCACCACCCTCACAGTGAAGAATTTCTTCCTAACATCTACACTTCCTTCCAGTTCTTTCTCTTGGCATCTCCCACATTGGATTTTGCTGTCAGGCTGGTGCTGGGGACCGGGACCCTGGCTCCCACAGTTCTACCCTGGGCATGCACAAGGTGTGGCTTGCTCACCCCAACTCATGCAACCAAGACCACAGCAAAACAACCCCATGGGCACCTCCTGCACCATCCAACGGGTGCTGAGTCCTTGGAGGTGTCAGTGTGAGCCCTGCCAGCACCAGCTGAGGCTAAAGCAAACTAGGGAGAAAGGGTTCTTGCAGATAGGAAGAGTTGTGCTGACCCCCATTTAACTCAGCTCCTCTTCGGTAGTGTGTCAGGGAGATCAAAGCCATCCTCTGGCATCCAGCAGGCTTTGATCACAGACTCTGCTCAGGCTCACGGCTTTGGCCAGCAGCCTGTGGCCAGACCTGGGCATCCCTGCATTCCTAGAGGATCAGCTCCCTCCTGGCTCGCAACCCCTGCTCGCCTTCTCTGTCCCCGCTCCCCACCCAGCCTTGCCTTCCCTGGCACTCTGGCCCTGTGACAGCAGGGCAAACACAGGGGAGAAAAAAAAAACCAAGAAAAAAATATGGGTTTTTTTGTTTGTTTTCCATGCTGCTCCCATCCCTAGTGCAGCAGCCACAAACCTTGGGACCTTCAGCCTCCAAAACAAGGAGCGAGGGGCTCTGAACCACACAGCCTTGCAGGAATTAAACAGCAATATTTCTGTCTTGCCCAGCACAATGCTGACAAGAAGATATTTAATAAAATTACATCTAAGTGTGTCCCTCGGGGAATAGACAACCTGCAATGTCGTGCTTCACCATGGACCTTGACACAGAAAGGTGTCTCAGGAGACCAAGGCAGTAGCAGGAATCCACAAAAAAGCACAGGAGCTATTGGCTTCAAAGCAACCATGGCAGCCTGGAGCCCCACTGGCATTGCACAATCAAATGGTGTCTTTAAAAACAAGCCTGGTAGCTTTATACCGAAAGCTGCTGTTTGCCATCTGTCTCGCAGCCTCCCAGCCTGGGGCAAGATGAAATGCCCTTCACGCCATAGAAAACACCTCCATTTTCCAGCTGTTTCTGTTGGTCTAATGGAGGACATGCTTAAATCCTTACATCAGGGGTTTCTGAACTGGTGGGACAAATTGCAAGCTACCACCAACTTCAAATTGTTGAGAGGTCCGCAGACCCAAAAGGCTGAAAACAGTGACAATGTTGTGGCTACAACACCCATTGCCCTCTTGGGTGGGACGTTGGGGATACCACAGACACTGGTGACACCACAGACCATCGCCACTGTGCTGCTGCCCCATATGGGGTTCGCAAGCACCAAAGCGCTGGGGAAATACTTACAGCAGCCATTGAATTCAGCTGATCGATATAAAACTCTGGCCAGCTGGTGGCTCCTTTATTTTCTTCCTGGTCCTGGAGCAGGAGGAAAAAAAACAGGGAAACAAAGAGAGCAGATTAGTAGAAATAGCGTTAACATCCCCTGCCCTTCATGACCAACCACCTCTGAAGTGCCCTTGAGCCCTTGCATTACTTTATATTAATATAAGCTCGACTGTCTATGTTCTGAGCTCATCAGTGACAGCTCCAGCTATAGGAACATTACCTGATTTACTGAACTGGCATATCTGGCATATTTTATATACAATCTACGTTACACCATCTGCCTGTGACCAAACTCTGCCTCAGCGATACTGCATCAGTCTTGTGGCTATCAGCTTTGGAAAAAGCACACTGAAATTTTACATCCAGATTTGTCTTGTACCAACTCTACAGTGCCCTTGAAGTTTTGGCTGCACAGCCTCGATGAATGTGTTTTGGGGGCAGGAAAAAGAGTCTCTTACCAGTAATGAAGAGTGAGTAAACGCGGCGTGAATTAGGCTCTACTCCTCTCTCTCCTAAGAGAGACTCTAGGCACAACACACAACTCCTCTGGGGGCTTCATTAGTTGTTAGGATGAAACACGCACCTGGCAATGTCCCCTGTTAAAGGACACCACCCCTGGGCCCATGATCTGTGATACTGACTGATGCACAGCCTCTTTTGGGCACCCCAGTCTACACAACCCTGCATCTGGTAGGATGCACAAGGGGATTTCAGGTGCTACCATGCTCTTGTAGGACACGGCCAAAAGGACTAGAGAAGTGATTGCTCCCTTGTACTCACCACTGGTGAGGCCACAGCTCGAACACCGCGTTTAGTTTTGGGCCTCTCAATGTAAGAAAGACATTGAGGTGCTAAAGCACATCCAAACGGCAGCAACAAAGCGGGTGAGGGTTCTGGAGCACAAGTCTTATCAGGAGCAGCTGAGGGAACTGGGGTTATTCAGCTTGGAGAGAAGGAGACTGAGGGGAGACTTTGCCATCCTCTACAACTTCCTGAAAGGAGGCTGTAGCAAGGTGGGGGTTTGGTCTCTTTTCCAAAGTATCAAGCGATAGGACAAGAGGAAATGGCCTCAAGTTGCATCAAGGAAGGTTTAGATTGGATATTAGGAAAAATTTCTTCACCAAAAGGGTTATCAGGCATTGGAATGGGCTGCCAGGGAAGTGGTGGAGTCACCATCCCTGGAGGTCTTTAAAGGATGCGTAGATGTGGTGTTTAGGAACATGGTTTAGTGTAGAAGTAGCCAGTGTTAGGTTTACAGTTGAACTTGATCTTAAAGGTCTTTCCTAAGCTGAACAATCCTGTGATTCTGTGAACACAGGAGCTATGAGCCCAGCTCAGATAAATTACGCTGCATGTCCCCAGGGACTGCTTGGAGCAAGCAGGCTGATTTTGAGGGAATATGTCAAAATCAACCCTTTTCCCCAGTGTATTTTCCTAAAAAAGTCTATCAAAAGGAAAGGATTCACAGCAGAAATGCCACATAGGCTGCAGAGTCAACCGATACTGCACAAATCCCAGGCAACTTCCCTCAAAAACCACCTTCAGTTCACAGCCCGACTCGCTCCAAAGCTTTGCCCCCTCTCTAAGTTTAAGAGATGTTTGCAAAGGTCATCCTACACCACCATCGTCTGCGACGGTGGGAGCTGAGTGATCTACTCCTCTGCTCCCATGTCTGTGCATGCAGACAGCTACGGATTCCCCAGGTGATTTCAGGAAGCACAAGGAGCAGAGTCCCAAATATTTACTGCGGTTCAAGAGGCGTATGTGGGGAATGTTCGTGCAGTCATGATGAGAACACACACAGTCAGGGATGGGTAACTTGGATGTGACTCAGGTCCCCCTCGGGCAGTGCAGCCCATCCCTGCAAACCTGCTGTGCTTGGCTCTGGGATGGGAATAAAAGAAATTTGGGAGCAACAAGGGATGTGGCAAACCCTCGGGCATCTCCTGTGACATGCTGAGGGCTAAGAGAAGCTGCTTGTCCACCCTCGTGGCCAACTCCAGCCCTCTCGAAGTGGCTGTGATTCAGGCTGGCAACAACCAGATCACCCCAAGCAGCTCTCTGTGCCGGCTGCCCATGCACACAGTTAGGAAATGCATCCCTTGGGCTGCCTGCTGATGGACACACATTTGTAAGCCTCACTTTTTTTTAATCTTCTATACATCTGGTCAAGTGTAACGCAAATAAAATAACTTTCCTGAGCAAGAAGACTGCATTCAGCCCTCCCTGCACACTGCTTTAATACTTTGGGTTGTTCTCCCCTCCTGCTGCTGCCAAGAACCAAGGTTTTGAATGAAATGCTTGATTTGCCTGCCCTTCACATCTCATTTTTTTTTCTAACCAAGCAGAGAGTGAGAATTTTTCTCAAACATCAGAAAAACAACAACAACAAAAAATCTGCCGTACTCATGCTACTGCCAAGCCTAATAAACCTGAAGGAGCTCCCACTGCCTGCCTCTGCATGGATGGAGGACCATTCATACTCATGCTCTGACAATTAGTTTTTGCCAGCAACAAATAAAACCATCCCATCCTGTCCAAATGGTGCTTAAAGAAAGAAAAATGCTCATCTGCTGGCAGAGTGTGCATCCAGCCTGATGGGGAGAGATAGGGATGCCTTTGGTCTTCTCACAGCCAGGAAAAACAGGATGCGCTGGCTTCTCTCTGCTTTCCCCTCTCCCAAAAACTTCCCTCCAGCAAAGGCAGGAGGATGGAGGGGCAGAGACCTCTCGCTGTCCGCTGGCAAACAGCGAAGCAATCCTCTCCAAACAACCCAGAGACCATCCAGCTGCCCATCCTGCCACATTTCTGGCCACATCTGAGACCACGTGCAGGGACTATCACCTGCCAGCATCGAGTGTGGCCTCCTAAAGCCATGGCCAGGGGGAGGTATCCAATTTTGAGTATCCAAACCCAAGGCCTTCCCAAAGGACTGGGAAGAGGATGTTCATTTGCAGCTATCTCCACTCACTTGTGCCTTGAACATGGTCCGAAAAAGGACCAGCTCCTGTCAGTCACCTCCTGGAGACATCACTGGAGGTCCTCCACATCACCCGAGGGTACCATCAGCACCTCTTATAAGGGGCATCCCTCTCCCACCAGTGCTTCCAGCAGTGACACTGCCTGGGAAGGGTGGTGAGGTTCCCACCACTGCACAACACCAAGAGATGATGGGCCACGAAATCTGGGCAGGCAGCAAGGCCTGTGCTGAGGAACAGAGTGGGAAGGCAGTGGGGCCGGCTCATCCCACGTACCAGGGCCTTTCCGCATGGCGCAAACACCTGCAAGTCCAGCAGGGATTCAGACCTGCTGCTTGTTTAAGGCTGAAAGGAAGCGCTGGAGCAAAAAAATAAAGGTCTCCAGGGGGCGGAGGGGAGGCTGAACAACAAAATTGGCTAAACTGCTCATTTATAATTAACATGCTGCATTATAAATATTTCCCTTTACTCGGCTCCCTCAGGCTCTTGCATTTCCTCCCCGAAACCCCCAATTTAGGGAGCTCTCTCAATTAAGTGCAGCAGAACCTCATTAATTCCGATAAGCAGCTGAGCAGGCTCAGAAAGCAGCTTCCCAGGCAAAGGGGGACTGGACAATAAAGCAGGCAAAGATTAGGGCACGGGCTTCCCTCAGCTCGCTGCAGGACATTGCTCAGTGGTAATTACAGAGGCTAATGGTCTACATCACACTGATAAGTGCCCTTTAGTGCTTTCAGTGATGGTAAAGAAATACCCCAACAAAACAACAAGACCAGAGGGAAGTGACTCACAAGGCTTTGGTCAGAGGCAGGAGGAGGGAGGAACCTCTCTGGACATCACGGCTTGAAAGGGTGAATTTGTAGATGATTTCCCAGCATCCAGGGTGGGTTCTGGGCGTGCGTGTTTTGTAGCCTGCCTTAGACAAGGGTTGCCCAGATGTACAGTGGACTATTGCCAACATCAGCTCTCCAGGATGCTCCATCGCATCTGGCTGGCCTGGCACCAGGGACACAAACATCTCCCAGTTTCTTATCTGGGTGGTGTTTAGGTCTTTGCTATGTTTGCTCTCTTCTTAAGAAGCACAGAAGCGAGGGCTGATCCGAACCCTGCTGACAGCCCAGTGCTGCAGTTTACTACGAGCCGCTCTTTTAGAGGCAGGCTGATGGCCGTAATTGCACAGTGCAGGGATGGGTATACCTGCTCATCTGTAACATGTGCATCAATGTCCCTCACTGTCCTCTGGAAAATGGCCCCGACGGACACAGGCACCCTGCTGCAAAAATTAGGAAATGCCAAAGCCGTGCAGCCAAGTGCAATCTTTGCCCTGTCCCCAGCTTCATTTCCCATTCGCTTCCCTCAACATCCACTTCTTCTTTCCCAGTCCCAGCACCACTGTGCCCTCCTCTCGCCTCCGCTGCCCCTTTGCCTCCAGGCTCCATGTTGGGGCTGATGGACGCTGCTGTTTGGCACCACAGCGGCAGTGGTGGGGGGATGTCGTAATGGGAACTTGAGGCTCCATCCCCTCCATCAGCACTGGGTGCTGCAGGGAAAGCAGTGCCCAGTCAAGGACGTCATTAGTGGGAGCTTTTCCACTAAGTGAAGGTCAGTGATCTGCCAGCTCCAGCCATCCCTTTGCTTTTCCCAGGGACATTTCACTCTCCCCAGCCCTGCCACACCTTGGTGACAAGCCTGACACTTCCACAGCCCATGTGCCTCCCCCTCGGGGTGTCGGCAGCTCCCACAGCTACATTGCCCTGCTCTTCCCAGTGACCATCCTTGGGACACTGGGCACCACCACAGAGAAAGTGGCGGTGCAGTCAGCAGTGGCTCAAAAGCAGTTTGCAGACTGGTCTTGGCCCTGTTTGGCACTGTTATTTACACCTGGAAAGTGCATCTCCATGACCTCCTGCCCCTCAGACCTGTAGGAACACAGTCACTGGGAGCAATGCGCCCTCCTGCTCGCAGTGTGTCCTCATAGGAGTGGAGGGAAAGACACCTCTGAAGCTATTCAGTGCTCTGTACAGCTGCTTTGCTTCTAAATCAAGCTTTTGGAGA